TTGGTAACAAAGGGAACTCCATTCATTTTTAATTCCAACTACTAAACAATTTAACTTACCTTTTTAACCATTTGAAGTTATAATCCAATAAGCTATGTATACTAAATTTTATTCATAATGTCTGCTGACTTGGTAGCTTTGCTAACTTAATATAATTTAAGCCCTCGTAAAAATTTTACAGTTTTTACAATAAGTATGTTAAATTAAACTTAACGCTGATCCTTAATCAATTGGGAAAGTGCTTATGCAATTAAAAAGCGATTTAATGGCTTTAATTAAACGCAAACAGCGTGAATGGCGCGTTCTGCAGATCAAATAAATTGTTGAATGCATTTTCGCATATTAATGATTAATGTTTGTATTTGTTGTTGCCGTTGTGGCTGTTGTTTATGTTGTCGTTGTTGTTGTTGTCATTCAGTCAGATTATTTAGCTAGCCAAACAGTTGTCTGTGCAGCCTCTGATAAGCATCATATTTACTTTTTCACACACAAATACACACAGTGTCTGATAAAAGTATAGCAAATATTGTCTGGCCAAGCTCTTGGCATTGGGAATTGGCCAGTGACACGTTAACCGAAGCCAGGGCCAAACGAAAACCCAAACACAGACCCAGGACTGCCAGCCAGGCAGCCTGCCTGTCAGACAGATCAGAAATGAACTCAATCAATTTTATGAGTCAATTGTATTATTTATTGCAAGGTGATACCCCAAGCTGAAATCAAACAAAACTATGCAAATATTAAATATTTGAACAGCTCTTGGGACAAGTCCGTCCAGGCTCTCGAATATTTTATTAGATCGCAGTCAAAGGTGATTTGCTTACAGCTCAATAAATGATTTAATTGAAGCCTTAAGCGTGAAACTGAGTAAATCGGAAATTCGATTGACAAAAGGGGTAGGGAATTAGAGACAGAGAGAGTGTCTGACTTTTATGGTCATCTGTAAACTACAAACATAAATAGTTGTCGTTTGGTATACTCTAAAGTATATGTGCCTAAGTTTAATATGTATCCAAATCAGGTATTCAACAAAACCATAAAGCAGATAGGTCAATTTGTAAGCTACGAGCTCGCTTCGACTTTACAAGTCTGTTAACTCAGCTAAAGCCCTTTGACCCTTGCTGTTGGTGGAAAATTGCATAAAAATGACAGGGTTTAGCCTGTCCGCCTAGATAAATGAGTCACGTTCCGAAAATGAAACTCAAAGGAAAAGATATAAAAACGCCCACAGAGTGCGTCACAGGCTACGGCGTTGAATGAGCAACCACCAACGGACTTGGATTTCGGGCTCCTAGCGCTGCAGGAGGCGCATTTGCATGTAAAACTAAAACAACAACAACAACAACAACAACAACATTTGCTGGCGGATTGTGAGTCATTCTCGTTGTCAGCTCCCGATAGCAATCGGACGAACTCCGCGACGCTGCGTTAATTAAAGCGACAAATGCCGGAACGGAGAGGTGGGGCAGAGACTGGAGCAGGGAGCGAGGCTGGGGCTGCGACCATGGTAGGGACCTCCCCAACCAATGCAGTCCGCACATAGTTGCGGCCCCTGAACTGTTGTGTTTTCTTTAATTTTTCTCATTGTTTTTCCAACGCAGCTGCGTGTTAGAGTGGAAAATGAGCAGCATACGTAGGCGCGACGCCCGTGGAGAGAGTGAGAGAAGAGGCACTGGGGGGAGTGGGGCTAGGTCTGGGTCTGATTGGAGCCTCCAGCCAGGATGTTTTTATCTCCCGTCTCGCCGAGCTTAAGAAAATATTTATTTTATTTGCTCTTTGGCTCGATGCGCGTTATAATTAAGTGCGCGCCAAGGAGGTTAATTGGTATTGATTGTGTGAACAAATTTATTGTGGACAATGTTGCGCCCCTCGCCACAACAAGTGTTTAATAACCGCTCCCAACCGATTCGTAACCATGCGATTCCAGAGCATCTTTAAGTGGCTGGCAAGTGAGCGCATCCTCCCCATTAGAAGATTCCCACGAGCGCATCAAATGCTGCCACTCGAGCTGCATAGATGAAATCCAAACATTTTAACAGAATTTCCAGAAACACGGCACTCAATTCAATTGCGAGCACTCAGACATAAATGGATTTGGAAATGTGTACCTTCGATTGCTTGTGTTTCTTTTGAAAACAAATTGCATTAAATATTCAAAAATATCGACTGGAAAATTACTAGCTAATTGCAGGCGTTGTCTGATATGTAAAGCTGAAATGGAATTCAAGGAAGCGAAGAAAAGATGCAGCTTATAATTATTTTTGGATATATTTTTCTTAGATGTAGCTAAAAACTGGACAGGGACAAACACTTTATGCAGACTACTCAATGGAAGATTCTTCTGGATAACTTATTTAAAACTTTATTAAAGGTATTAATATATTTGGCATAAAAAAGCAATGCCTAGTTCTCCGGGCAATCAGTATATTATTTTCAGATAAAATCTTTTAAAGTTTAATTGAGAACAATCCGAATTCGAATTCAATCTCTCATTCCCATCACGCACTGCACATTGCTTTGGCGTATGTCGCATATTATCACCGAGACGAGTCTAAATTAAAACAATTCACGCAATTGGATGGCACGCGAATACATCTAGACACAAGCAACCAAAACCGTAAATGGCAGAGAGGCACATATGTTTCCAGCCGAGAATAATGGATAGTAATATACGTCAAATGACTGGCCTGTCCAGCTGGCCATTTGAAACCAAAGCAACGACTAATCACGATAAATAAATGTCGTGTCCATAACATAAACTGACTATTTGGCATACATACGGCTGCTCGCACTATATAAACTGCATTAGCTACTCGTAATTTACAACAATTGCCCTGGATTTGACAGATATTTGTTGTGTTTATCGATTCGACTGCAAAAGTGAAAGTCCCATGAAAAGATAATGCCACAAGCTACCCCAATCGCCTTTTGGTTACGACAGACCCAGATTATAATATAATAGATAATGGAAATTAGATTGGATATGACAGCCAGTTACGTAGTTGAGCGAGATGGGAAAGGGTTGAGGGTATAATGCACAGCTTATTAGAACTTATTAAGAATAATTACGAAAAGCGAAATAAACAAAAAGTGACACTAATTGGACAAAATGTGATAAAGTCGGGAATGTGCTTAAAATATAAATATCAATAATAACTGATAATAACTAAAGTCGGGAATGTGCTTAAAATATAAATATCAATAATAACTGATAATAACTATTTCAAGATTTTAAGCAAGTTTGAATACAAGTATACGTTATAAATAAAACAACTCTGACAAGTTTTTAACTTTCTTAACAACTTATTCGTGCTTGCGAATGACAAACAAAAAGATACAGATGCATAAACTAAGAGAATAAGGAAGCTACGAACCAGTTCAGCAAAAAACTGAACTGTGGGCAGATAGTTAGAAACAATAAATATACTGATTAACCTTGCACATAAGATACATTCATAAATAAATACATATATATATATATATATATATATATATACATATATGCATGCAATCAGAACAAAAGCGAATGCTGATTTCTTTATAGATTGACAGGCAGACATTTTCCGCATAGGAAAGTCTATAGAAAAAAATAGTAAATTAATAATGAAGTTAATTGCAAGTCCCGGAATCAGGAATCGATTTTGCATACGCGCATTTGCGATACGTGAATTGTGCATGGAATTTCATATATGTAAGCGATATATAGATGAAAAGAAATGTGGACAAATAAAAACAAAGCTTCCTATTAATTGGATACCAAATACGGTTTGCGAGAATGTAATGAGGCAGGCTGTGTGTTAGTGTGTGTGTGTGTGTGTGTGTGTAGGGTTTGTAGGGTGTGGGTAGGTTGTAGGGGTTAGGCTGGGTTGTTGCAGTCGGTGATTAAACACCTTTACGTGCTATGAAAATCAATATTGCTTAAGAATCATGGCACGCAAATTAAAAACAGCGAAACGAATGGCAAATTGTTGCCATGGCAAACCTCTAAAATGGTTGAAAGAGGGATGGTGGGGGGTCAGTCTGAGCGAAAGGGGCGCCGCTGCTCACTAATTACCGAGCGCTAAACATTTTGACGCGCTTTTCTCGAACCAACATTTATATTAATGTCTGTCTATATAAGCGGGGGTGTGTCTGGGTTGTTGTTTCTGATGGCACGTTTTTGCAGCACATGACCACAAGTCAAGCGAGTGTGTGTATGTGTGTGTGTGTGTGTGTGTGTGGCGAATGCAAGCAAATCTCTGCGATTAATCAGTTAAGTGTTAATTAATCAACGTAAATACAGCATAAATACTCAAACAATTCATACTTTATATGAGTATTCAGGCGGGAATATTCACAGCATTTGGCAAAGCTGCAAAGCCGACTCGATTGGCTGTAATTTAAAGCTGCTTAGAAAGTATGCCTTGCTAATATTGTTTACTTGTGCGCAAAGTATTTGTCAGCTAATAAGAAGTTAGACTTGAGCAGCTCCGATGGGAATAGTTTCTTAAAGACTCTTAAGTTTTTAATAAATTCAAAAGAGCTTTAAATAAGCTATTAAATTAAAGTTGAAGGCAATTAAATTTTTACATTTAATAACAGCAAGCAAATAGCTAAAATGCATATAATTATTTAATTACTGTAGAGTAAACTCTAAAGAAAATTACGTTTGGTAATTTCGAATTCGGATTTCCCAATAAATATGTATACCTGTAACTGAATGCATCAAAAGCGTCAATTAAATTGTAGGCCAATTTTGCACTAGCTGTAATAAGCCCCAACAAGCCCAAAGGTCAAGGTCAATTGGGCTCAACGTTGCGTATACGTAATTTGCCATATTTCACACATACGTGTGGCCACGTTAACATATTTATTGCACTCTTTTTTAACCAATTGCTGTTATTTCTTGTTTACTGCAAAACAATCGTTAGCATTATTTATTTAAATATTTTATATATTTCAATTGATTTGACTGCCATTTTAATAATTGAATTTGCCGTTTTCTACCTTATTTATTTCAGCCCACCTCAGCGGAAGGAAATTGAAAACTGTGGTAAGTGTCAGAGCTGGCATTTATTGTTGTGGAAAGCGGAAAATTGTTCATATATCATATTAATTATTGTAAAAACTTCTGACGTGAGGCTAATTTAATGCTCGAATCAATTGGAAGGCAGCTGAAAAAATTGCGGTCAACTTTGATGATAAATAATGGCGCCTAATTAGATTATTGTTAGCTGAAGCCATTAGAAAGCTGGCACGTTAAAAATAATATGCCATCATTTTGCCTTTTTACAATTTGATGATAGATTAAAGTAATTAAATAAAATAGTCGCGTGTGGCTATCTATATAAAGATAAACTCTCTTGAGCCAAAAAACGCTTGTCAAATAATTGTTAAAAAATTTTTAGTTATCAGATAAATACTTTCTGACTAAAACCACAAGTTTTTACGATACACACGAGTTATTTTTATGAAAAAACGTTTAGTGGTTATAAAGTTTAAGACTCAACCAAAGACTTAACCTACAATTTTTAAGGCCTGCGGCCAAACCTGGCATATGACGACTACAAAAAAAATATAAGACCTTGCTTCCGATCGGGGTTTTGGCGGGGGTATTTACAGGTCTGCTGTTTGGCATACGGCGTATTTGTCAGCGGAGGGGGGGCACCCAGCAAAGCGCGTGGCCATCCACGTGTGTTGTCTCTTGCGTGTGACATGTGGGTGGCCGAGTGGTTGGGTGGGGCTTGGATATTCATGAGAGACGCCAGGTAATGGCCACAGCAAGTAAATAATAAATTATAAGCAAATACTCAAAAAAGTACATGACATATATACAAATAATTGATAAGGTTGGGGCGTAATGTACACAAAAGTAAAATAAACTTTAAATACATTGAATTCAAGCGAAGCTTAACTTGACAATGCTTATAGCTAAAGAAACATTTGATTGAGTTTTTTTAATTGTATTCTAACAATGAAACACCCTACTCCAATTTAGACTTCCCAATTGTATTCTTTGCATTATCTAACCGAAATTAAAAACATTTTGCTTGGGTTTTTTAGCTGCAATTATGACTTAATTATAACTACAATTACAGCTAAGCGCTGCTCTAACCAGGTTGGCATTACGCAACTTCCCAGCAACAACAGCCACAATTTCAAAACACAAAATACACAACAATACAAATCATCAAAATGCAATAAACATAGTAGAAGATAGAGAGAGAGAGAGAGAGAGAGAGAGAGAGAGAGTGAAATAGATGAGGAGAGACAGAGAGAAGCATCCGATGATGCTTCATTGTTTGCCCCACTTCAGCAGCAGCAGAGGCAGCGGCAGCGGCAGCAACAGCAACAGTATTTACAATTTGCACAAGATACAGATACAATTGTATCTCAATGCGGCCAGTTGGCCAGACCAGGCCACACCAAAGCTGAAGCTGAGGCTGTGACTGTGGCTAGGAGATCTGTGGGTCGGTAACCTTAACCCAAACTGCATATGGCAACAGAAACTGAAAATGAGACAGCGAGAGCGAGAAAGAGAGGGAGAGAGATAGACAGAGACAGAGTCGGAGACTTCGTTTTAGTTTCGGTTCATAAACATATTGAGGTCACTTGTCTCTCTTAATAGAGAGATAATTCTGACGTTTGTTGTTGGAAAATACTGTGGAAAATGCCAAAGCCATTAACAGTTTTCACTATGAAAAAAAGTCAAGTTGAGTGCGCTGATTTCTGCTTTTATACATTTGCTGGCATTTGATGACTTTGATAACAGCAACAACCTCAATAGGTAAAGAGTATCTACAAGTTCTAAGAAATTGCTGCCATTGTTGCTGGCTCAAAAATCAATAACTGACAATGTTGCCCGCCAAACAGGGAGGAAGCCTTATGGCATGTGCCATGCTCCAAGTACCAAGACCCAGACCCAGCCCCTGTTCCAGACCCATTCGCAATCCTAGTGCCAGCCACGGTTCGTTAAGCACAGTGGCACAAAAGAAAATTGGCAAGCCAAATTGCTGCAAAGGTAATTTTCGGCCGAAACAGGCAGCAAAACTGTCTCCAAATTGCAAGAATAACCAATATAATATAGAAATATAATTCGCTCAGGCTCTGCGAATTTAAGTACGTCTGCTAAGTTATTTAAATGGTACCATTAAAATATATATTTAATACACAGTTAGGAATTTTAAACTTCTTTAATCTGTGCTTGAAATTTTCCAAAAACCACGTCACAAAATTATCCACTGTGAACAGTTTAGCTTGTTTTATTTAAGGTTTGACCTGTGTGATGTACATCAATCAATCAGTCAGTCAATATGCATCAACAACTTGTATAGGTATATACAAAATAATACATACACAAAACGAAAGTGAAATTCTTCAGTTTTCCTTTCATCTTTAAACTTGAATACTTGCATTCGTTTCTATCTCTCAGTTATCATTTTTTGCAACCTTATAATATTCCCTAGAAACAGGGCTAACTGACATTCAGAGCTCTGTTACGCACATCGGCCACAACATATGTGCCCCCACCCTCTTGCAGGTCCATTAGTTCGTGCACTTTTCCAAAGTTTTTCGCCTACAGCTGCAATCTTTTGAAAGCCTTTCAAAACAGCTGCATTCAGGTGTCAGAATTTTCGCAGTTAATGCAACTGTCAGCAATACTTACTTTTCGTACTCCTGTGTCTGCATTTGTGTCTTGCGCTGCTGCCCCTTCTTCTTTTTCTTCTTTTAAGTCTAAGTCTTGGGGCATGTGGACGCATTGGCTGTACCGCTGTCATGTTTTGGGTGCAAGTATGGATGACATTTGACGTCGGGGCGTCAGTGTAAGCATTTTTGTGCACTTTTGAGTGGCGGCAGCTGGCGTCTATTTTAGCCAGAAGCCAAACTGAAGACTAAACAGTTGGCGGGACTTAACCGAACCCACGACCGTGCCTCTCTCTCTCTCTCTCTCTCTCTCTCTCTTTCTGTCGCCCTCTCTATGTGTAAACAATTACAGCAGGCAAATAGCGGAAATCACGTTTTTTTTAAATGCTGACGTTCGAGTGGCCAATAAAGGTGACTGCGGCAAAGGCCTGGAAATGGGAAATGGTTATAGGGACGGGCACTAGGTTTGGGGTTGGGGTTGGGGTTGAGGTTGGGGTATTAAGATACTCAAAGCTACGCAACGAACCGCCGATGGGGCCAAACGGAGGCGGACGCAGCTGCCGCGCTTCCGACTGACAACGGGTTGTGCCCGCACTATGGGTGGACAAGACACAGAAGGTGTGCGGAGATTTATGACGTTGCTGGCGCTGTTGCCTAACACGTGTTCTGCCATTTAAGCTGACCCTCTTCAGCGCCTCTCTGTCGCTACAAAAATAAGAAGGAACGCAATTAAGAGAATCAGCTAGAGTATACCCTGTAAGCATATAAAGCTTTAACAACTATGACAGTATTTAGCCTGTGCTGTTGTTGAGCGATTTTTAGCTATAATCCATGATAATATTGTTTTGATTGTAGCATAAGCTTATAGGAATTTGAAAATTTATTGGGCTTAGCGAATCCAGGCTGGATTTATTTCAGCTCAGCTAAACCCTGACCCAGAGCTAGCCAATCCTAAAATCTTATAAGAATGTTACCAAAATCTAAAGAATTTAACATTCGTTTAAGTTGGTCACTCAGAAAATAGACCAACGCTTGGTTAAAGCTCGCAAGCGTTACACGACCCTGCAACCCACATATTTTACAGGGTATTCAAAGCGCAGCAGGTCACAGACATAAGTCAAGTATTGTGTTGCACTTATATTTTTGATGCGTTTTGTTGTTATTGCCACAGCCGTAAACGTGACTATTGTGAACGTGATTTTCATTTGGCCGGTTGTCATGTGGCCAGAGTGTTAATATTTTTATAGACTCGTCCGCCATCGGGTGGCTATGTTGGCCGTATCAAATTCATTTTGATCAATATTCGCTTTTATTTGTTTTGCTTGCATTTCTCAAGAAGTTTTCTCGAAAGTTGTGCGCGCTCTGTTTGCATTTTATAACTCTGCGACGCTTTTATTAGTTTAAGTTTAAGACCAGAGACAAAAGGCAATAACAAACAGTCCAGTTCGGGCTCATAAACTCAAGGCCATAAGGGGAAACGTCAGCCAAACACGTACAATAAATATTTATATACCGCATTATGGCGACAATTTCTACAAGTTTTCGTGGCTCGCTTTGGACTGCTGCAAGTCCAAAAACCTCAAAGCGGCACAGTTCAAGTGCATTCGATTCTTGGTAGGTGTGGCCCAGAGACAGAGCCAGACAGCCAAGACATTTATTAGCCAGCCGACAATAGAGGTTTTTTTATGTGGCAGACGACTCACAAATCAGCTAAAATGTTTATAGAGCTAAAAACGTTATGGCTTTCAGACATGTCTCGCAGCTTGAACTCCGCCTCTAAGTCTCTAGCTTTGTAACGCGATTGTAGCTAGAAAATGTGATTACTTTATCGGACAGATATTCGTTTATGCTTGTTAAAAAATTATTCAATAAGTTTGAGTTATTTTTAATGATTGTTTAGTATAATACATTTTTTGTTTTAAACCTTCTCAAATTCATATACTTTCCGTTTAGTCAAGTCCTTAGCACCTGAGTGCGTCCTTGAAAACCAGCCCAGGCCAGGCCAGCCTGGTCCTTAAGCCAAATTTGATGTCCTTGCTATTGTCAATAAGTCAGCTGCTGCCTGAATCTCTTTCTTTATACCCATTCTCAACAGCATATTCTGGCATTTACGGCAGCTACTTAAACAATGGCACAGAAATGTGCAGGGGCGGGTTGGCTGTCCTCATGATGAATGTGCTGCGCTGACAATTTGCAGTAAAGTGACATTAAAATGCATTTGCGAAATAAATAAGAGAGGCAGCTTTGGCTGAGCGCCAAGTACCCGAACCCTACCCCAACAACAACAACTGAAACCCAGTCAAACAATTGGAGCTCTGACGAAAGCAAAAGTACGGAGAGTATTTTTTAATGGATATCACGTAATTTGAATCTTAACAGCAGCCGGCGGTAATTAGAAACTCACTTCAC